AATTCTAAATAAATCACAGACAGTGTCACCAGCAAAGCATCCCCACACCATAACACCTCCTCCTCCATGCTTTACGGTGGGAAATACACATGCAGAGATAATCCATTCACCCACACCGCGTCTCACAAAGACACGGCGGTTGGAACCAAAAATCTCAAATTTGGACTCCAGAACAAAAGACACATTTCCACCGGTCTAATGTCCATTGCTCGTGTTTCTTGGACAAAGCAAGTCTCTTCTTCTTATTGATGTCCTTTAGTAGTGGTTTCTTTGCAGCAATTCGACCATGAAGGCCTGATTCACACAGTCTCCTCTGAACAGTTGATGTTGAGATGTGTCCGTTACTTGAACTTTGTGAAGCATTTATTTGGTCTCACAACTCAATCGCTGGTTGAAAACTGTTTTCTGCCCCTACCAAAATATATAATTTGTAGATAATTGGCCCTCTTTCTGGGACTCACCCACAAAAAGGACCAAGCCTGGCCTGCTGAGGAGTGACAGACTCCATCCTAGCTGGTGGGGTGCTCTCATCTTATCTATGAACTCCTCTAGCTCCACAATGAGATAGGTTGCCGGCCGGGCAGCAGGCTGTTAGCCAGCCTGCCAGTTTAGTGGAGTCTGCCACTAACACAGTCAGTGTAGTCAGCACAGCTTTCGCCATTGAGACCGTGTCTGTGCCTCGATCTAGGTCGGGCAAAACTGAACATGGTGGTGTTCGCCTTAGCAATCTCACTGGAATAAAGACCACCTCCATTCCTGTCATTATTGAAAGAGATTGTGATATTTCACATCTCATAATAGGGTTAATTAATGTTAGATCCCTCACTTCCAAGGCAGTCATAGTCAATGAACTAATCACTGATCATAATCTTGATGTGATTGGCCTGACTGAAACATGGCTCAAGCCTGATGAATTGACTGTGTTAAATGAGGCCTCTCCTCTTGGTTACACTAGTGACCATATCCCCCTCGCATCCCGCAAAGGCGGAGGTGTTGCTAACATTTATGACAGCATATTTCAATTTACAAAAACAAAAAAGACTGCAGCTTCTAGTCATGAAATCTATGCAGCCTACACAATCACTTTTTATAGCTACTGTTTACAGGCCTCCTGGAACATATACAGCGTTCCTCACGGAGTTCCCTGAATTCCTATCGGACCTTGTAGTCATGGCAGATGATATTCAAATTTTTGGTGACTTTTTAATATTCGCGTGGAAAAGTCCACAGACCCACTCCAAAAGGCTTTTGGAGCCATCATCGACTCAGTAGGTTTTGTCCAACATGTCTCCGGACCTACTCATTGCCAGTCATACCCTGGATCTAGTTTTGTCCTGTGGAATACATATTGTGGATCTAAATGTTTTTCCTCATAATCCTGGACTATCGGACAACCATTTTATTACGTTTGCAATCGCAACAAATAATCTGCTCAGATCCCAACCAAGGATCATCAAAAGCTGTGCTATACATTTACATTACATTTAACAGATGCTCTTATCAGAGGGACTTACAGTTAGTGCATACATTATTATTATTTTATTTTTTCATACTGGCCCCCCGTGGGAATCAAACCCACAACCCTGGCGTTGCAAACGCCATGCTCTACCAACTAAGCTACATCCCTCCCGGCCATTCCCTCCCCTACCCTGGACAACGCTGGGCCAATTGTGCGCCGCCCCATGGGTCTCCCGGTCGCGGCCGGCTACAACAGAGCCTGGATTCGAACCAGGATCTCTAGTGGCACAGGCCACTCGGGAGGCTATCAATTCTCAGACAACCCAAAAATTCCTAGATGCCCTTCCAGACTCCCTCCACATACCCAAGTACAAAAATCAGTTAACACTTTAATGAGGATCTTAATTTAACCTTGCGTAATACCCTAGATGCAGTCGCACCCCTAAAAACAAAAAAGATTTGTCACAAGAAATGTGCTCCCTGGTGTACAGAAAATATCTGAGCCCTGAAGCAAGCTTCCAGAAAATTGGAACGGAAATGGCGCTACACCAAACTGGAAGTCTTCGTATTTCTCCAAAGCTCAGTTGTCCTGAGTCTGCACAGAACTGCCAGGACCTAGGATAAATGGAGACACATGTTTTGTTATCCTGTATCACTTGACACATTCATGAAAATAGTCATGGCCTCTAAACCGTCAAGCTGCATACTGGACCCTATACCAACTAAACTACTGAAATAACTACTTCCTGTGCTTGGCCCTCCTATGCTGAACATAATAAATGGCTCCCTATCCACCGGATGTGTACCAAACTCACTAAAAGTGGTAGTAATAAAGCCTCTCTTGAAAAAGCCAAACCTTGACCGGGAAAATGTAAAAAACTATCAGCCTATATCAAATCTCCCATTCCTCTCAAACATTTTAGAAAAATTTGCGCAGTAACTCACTCCCTTCCTGAAGACAAATAATGCATAGAAAATACTTCAGTCTGGTTTTAGACACTATCATAGCACTGAGACTGCACTTGTGAACGTGGTAAATGACCTTGTAATGGTGTCAGACCAAGGCTCTGCATCTGTCCTCATGCTCCTAGACCTTAGTGCTGCTTTTGACACCATTGATCACCACATTATTTTGGAGAGATTAGAAACCCTAATTCTATTATCCTTATCGGAAGTTCCGACTGGGAAGTTTCACTTGAACGACCCTACATCAAAAATTTTTTTAAACTAATCCTCATTGTTCTGTATCTGCCTACATGTCGGGATTAGCCTACAAGTGGGTAACTCTGAGAAGATTTGCAGAGTTGTGACGTTTTACCATGACCTTAACTTTTTAACCAAAATAACAAATCCGTTTTTGACAACTACAATAGGCCTATGGGTAATGTAGCTAGGTTGACCATATTGTCAATGTTAAGCAAGCTAGCTAACTATTTATAAGCAACGTTGTTTGATGAATTGTTCCGACCAAAAAGCCATATTATCGAAATCAAATAGGAAACTCCGACGAGCACATGAACGCAGCATAACCAAGTGGGAAGGTGGTAATTACTAGCTGTGAAGTCGTAAATACAAGTTGGATGCATTCACACATGCTTTGAACTCGTTGAAACGCCGATTGGTTAATGGCCAACAAGCTGATCAACCATAAACTAAAAGTACAGCTATCAATCATACTTGTAAACAAATTATAGTGTTAAAAAAAAGTATTAATAGATTGCGTTTATAAATAATGTTTAGTTACACTTAACTGCCGAAAATGCTGTTATGGAGATAATTTCCTTATGTGATATCAGAGGTCATCATGGGGGAGAAGTCGGAGCTCATTCAACTGGGGAATCTCCGACATCCGACTTCAGTGAGTTCAATACAACTGGCAATTCGGGAAAAATGTGTTTCGACTGTGAAAAATTGTTTTCAACGGTCATCCAACTCGGAATTCCAAGTCGGAAACGCTGGGATCATCCTAGAGCTCCGACTTCTCCGACCTGAATATCACTGACGTCACGATTTGACCTCGTTTTATCCCCGAATCCCAGTGGTCATGAAAGCACCACTAGAGACGATGGATTTTTCCCCCACTTGGTTATGAACGCAGCACTAGTAGTACTACCTTACAAAACTACAATTAATTTACCATAAATGTTTATGTACATATCTGGAGGCATATTATTTTGTATAGAGGGACATAATAAGTAAAACCATGGTTCTAGTTTTCTTGAAGCGGATGTGGAGACGGAAGTGGAGGATTGTTACAGTGTTGTTACATGGTAGTGATATGGTCATTGCTAGTAAAAGAAAGGTGGAAAATATCTCAATATATACAATATTTGAAAGTTTAAAGCGTCGAGCAACATAGGCATCTACTGAACAATTATAGACGAAATGTTTATCCTGAAAAAAGGTATATTGTTCCAGAACTGTGCGAGCAAACTAAAGAAAGACACCATACGAAGTTATTTGCCAGCAACTAGCAAGCAGTCACAGCACAGTGTGGCTAGGCTAAATTAGCTAAGCTTGCCAGCTAGCTAGGAAGTATCGTCGTTTTTAATGACAACGGCAGCTAGAAAAGTACTCGAGTGACACGAAACAGGATAACTGTGCATGCGAATGGTTTAAATTAGCTCGTCTGGTTTATTGGGGAGCAAATAACGTCTGTTGCTGCATCGGGAATGTCGACCCTTCAACTCCACGGAACCCCCTGCATGTTGTAGCGACGAGCTAGCTAACGTTCTCCTGCAAATGAATGGACGTCGCAGTGGACACGGTTTGATCAACAATGTGCGCAATTTGCTAGCTAACTGCTCTCGTTTCAATGTTGATTGTCATCAACTACTCGTCGGATGAAGAGGGTTGCATTCATTTAGGCTGGAAAACTACTCAAGAACGTCATAATTAGATTGGATAACCACTGAGGCGCAACTTTAAATGGATAAAATTGCGAAATCTGGTGAAATAATGCATTATCCTGGAACATGAAGATGTTGCAACCGATGGATATTCAAAAGTGAAATCGCAAATAATGTGGAAAATCTTTATTCAGTGAATATGGAGCTTAGAAGAGTTATAAATGCAATTTTTTGGGGCCATTTTTATTTTGTTGTGGGATCATATATCCCCATTTTAAAGGGGAGTGATGGGGCTTTTGACTGATCTTGTCCTGCGCCCCAGGTAGTTCTCAGCCCTGCAGTTCACGTTGCTGCACAGGAGTGTTGGTGGTGGATGCCGCCGGGCTTGGCCCAGCAATTTCCTTAAAATGGAATAGGAATGGACATTTATTTTTGATATTTTACAGTTTTGTCTTTGAGACGTCAATACAACAATATTGTCATGTCGCCCAGCTGTTGGCATATCAAGAAATTGTCTTCATTGAAATGATTTTTCTTGAGACTAAAACTATCATGAACATGAAGGAGAAGTTGCCGAAGCAACAATATCTGTGCTAATTGAAAGATGGCCTCACTCACAGATGTCAACATAATACATTTTTAACACAAGTACTATTGGCTTTTTAAAGAACATTTTACAGTTGTGATTTCATCATGTCTGATTTTGCCGAATTTGTACCCCCTCCTGAGTGCCCAGTTTTTGAGCCGAGTTGGGAAGATTTTTCTGATCCACTAGGATTTATAAACAAGATTCGACCTATTGCAGAGAGAACTGGCATCTGCAAAATTCGACCGCCCGAGGTAACCTCACTGTCTCAGCTTCTGGAATATAACACAGCTTCCATTTTAAGATTTACGGCTGCATTGGTTTATGCCCTTGTTGTCATCTATTTATGGTATTTTCGGCCTAGCCCGACGCAAATTTTTAGTTGGGCAACGATATTTTACTCGTTGAATTGTTCACTTGTGGAGGTCAAATATTAGTCACATTTCTTGTTTTGTTTCGCATTTGATTTTAACAATGATTTTGGATGTTTATATTTTGCCAAATAGTTAAAGTAAAGTCGTCATTTTAAAACAGCGGCCTCTATTCAGGACTCCCGTCTGTGACTCTTTGTTTTCTTTTTTTGGTGTTTCCTGGACAGATCGCAACTGTTACATTCGGGATATCAAGTAAACGTTACACGAATTAGATGAGGTCTAGATACATTTTTTAACTATTAATAATTTGATATATCAACTCCTAGGTGCTTTTCATTTGATGTCCTAGATGTCCAAGTCTTTGCTACATCATGACTACAATATTAACAAGATGCATGTATTTAGCTGTAAAGAGTAATATATATTTTGTATGGTTTGGGATAGGCCTACAGTAGCAGGAAGTGAACTTAACGCGCTATGTTTCATGTTTTTCATATTTGGCCCTGTGCAAATCAAATGTATGTCTATTATTGGCCATTTTGTATTTTTCAATTTTTTTCCTATTTCCCACACGGAACCTTTTGAGTGATTAGGCTAAAAGCCATTTGCTGCACTTAAACTTGCTTCTGGGATGTTTTCTTAGATTTTTTAAACTTTTTTTTTTTTAGTCATTTAGCAGAGGCTCTTATCCAGAGCGACTTACAGTTAGTGAGTGCATACATTTTTCTTACTGGCCCCCCGTGGGAAACGAACCCACAACCTTAGCGTTGCAAGCGCCATGCTCTACCAAGTGAGCTACAGAGGACTTTGATGCACTGTGCTCCAATATAATTTTTCTTTTGGGGATAAGTCTGTGCCCATTTTGAAGCAATTGGACTACAGCGACTTAAATTATTTGTGTCATATCCAGTATTCTGGTATTGTCAGATGGATTTAAACATTTTATATATATATTATATATATTTTACATCCAATTTACAGGGCTGATTCTTTCCCAATCTGTATGAACACATCTGTATGAACACATCCCTATATTCTTTATGTGAAAAGGGGATTTGAATACTGTTATGTAATGTTTATGTTGTCAATTTGTAAGTCGCTCTGGATAAGAGCGTCTGCTAAATGATGTAAATGTAAGTATTTTCATGTCTTTTGTTGTTGCCTTTACTTCCTCATTACTTCATCGTATAAAAACTGAACCAAAGTTGATCATCTGGTTTCCATTTTTCTCTTCTCTATCTTTTAGGACTGGACACCTCCTTTTGCCTGCGACATACGCAACTTCCGCTTCACTCCCAGAGTCCAGAGACTCAATGAATTGGAGGTAAGTATACTGTACCTAGTTACAACACTGTGAAGGCTATGTTGGAAATACAATTAGGTTGCCTGTATGTAGTCATTATAAGGTATAGGCCTAATTAGAGGTATTGCCTAAGTAAATTGTCAAATAGGCTAGTTATTCAGCTGAGTTTGTTGTCAGTCATTCACTGATGTATGTTATTTAACCATATGTTATTATGTCTTTTAATAAAGACCTGGTAGTCTATGAATAAACATGTTTTTTTGTGAGGAGGTAGCCTAAACGTTGGTGTGGCTGGACAGTGCAGACCTTATGTGCATTGACTGCAGCTGTCGTCACATTTTGGGGGCAGCACTCTTGAATACAATGACTGAGTTAACAGACCATTGGCCTGAATGGGTGGTAGGCCTACTTTAGGAAGGGTTTTCAGGGTCAGAAAAGTTGTAGCCTAGCCTACCTTAAGAGTTGAAAGGATATCAGTCACTGGCATGTGTAGGCTATGTCTTTACTTGGATTTCTCCTAGGATACAGCACCCAAAGACACCTCTTTATACTCCTGTTTAGAGTTGAGCATGCCAGATTTTTCACTTGAATTTGTGTACTCTTTCCTCACCTCTCCTATTGCTTTCAGGCCCTCACTCGAGTCAAGCTCAACTTCCTGGATCAGATTGCCAAGTTCTGGGAGCTGCAGGGGTCCAGGCTCCGCTTCCCTCATGTGGAGAGGAAGATCCTCGATCTTTACCAACTCAGCAAGGTAAGACCGGAGTCAGACCATTCACCTGAACAGTATACTGTGTTTAGAAACATGCAGGGTGGTGTGTTTGTGTAAGTATATTATGATTTATTTAAAACTGAGGAGTAAGTAGTGTTTATTTTGGATTTTGTTTTAGGACAACAAAGAGGTGCTAAGTGCTGGTGTACATCTCCTTAATATTCTGAAAATATGCTTTTTGTGTATGAGTCAACCACAACCATCTTACTAAAAAACATTGTATTTCAGATTGTCTCCTCCGAGGGAGGCTTTGAGACAGTGTGTAAGGAGAAGAGATGGTCCAAGGTGGCCAGCAGGATGAGTTTCCCCCCAGGGAAAGGTACGGGCTCTCTGCTGCGGTCCCACTTTGAGAGGATCCTCTACCCCTATGAGCTCTTCCAGTCTGGAGCCACGCTCACTGTAAGTGCTATTGGTTCGACACATGCACACAAGAACATATACAGTGGGGAAAAAAAGTATTTAGTCAGCCACCAATTGTGCAAGTTCTCCCACTTAAAAAGAAGAGAGAGGCCTGTAATTTTCATCATAGGTACACGTCAACTATGACAGACAAATTGAGGAAAAAAAATCCAGAAAATCCCATTGTAGGATTTTTAATGAATTTATTTGCAAATTATGGTGGAAAATAAGTATTTGGTCACCTACAAATAAGCAAGATTTCTGGCTCTCACAGACCTGTAACTTCTTCTTTAAGAGGCTCCTCTGTCCTCCACTCGTTACCTGTATTAATGGTACCTGTTTGAACTTGTTATCAGTATAAAAGACACCTGTCCACAACCTCAAACAGTCACACTCCAAACTCCACTATGGCCAAGACCAAAGAGCTGTCAAAGGACACCAAAAACAAAATTGTAGACCTGCACCAGGCTGGGAAGACTGAATCTGCAATAGGTAAGCAGCTTGGTTTGAAGAAATCAACTGTGGGAGCAATTATTAGGAAATGGAAGACATACAAGACCACTGATAATCTCCCTCGATCTGGGGCTCCACGCAAGATCTCACCCCGTGGGGTCAAAATGATCACAAGAACGGTGAGCAAAAATCCCAGAACCACACGGGGGGACCTAGTGAATGACCTGCAGAGAGCTGGGACCAAAGTAACAAAGCCTACCATCAGTAACACACTACGCCCCCAGGGACTCAAATCCTGCAGTGCGAGACGTGTCCCCCTGCTTAAGCCAGTACATGTCCAGGCCCGTCTGAAGTGCATTTGGATGATCCAGAAGAGGATTGGGAGAATGTCATATGGTCAGATGAAACCAAAATATAACTTTTTGGTAAAAACTCAACTCGTCATGTTTGGAGGACAAAGAATGCTGAGTTGCATCCAAAGAACACCATACCTACTGTGAAGCATGGGGTTGGAAACATCATGCTTTGGGGCTGTTTTTCTGCAAAGGGACCAGGACGACTGATCCGTGTAAAGGAAAGAATGAATGGGGCCATGTATCGTGAGATTTTGAGTGAAACCCTCCTTCCATCAGCAAGGGCATTGAAGATGAAACGTGGCTGGGTCTTTCAGCATGACAATGATCCCAAACACACCGCCCGGGCAACGAAGGAGTGGCTTCGTAAGAAGCATTTCAAGGTCCTGGAGTGGCCTAGCCAGTCTCCAGATCTCAACCCCTTAGAAAATCTTTGGAGGGAGTTGAAAGTCTGTGTTGCCCAGCGACAGCCCCAAAACATCACTGCTCTAGAGGAGATCTGCATGGAGGAATGGGCCAAAATACCAGCAACAGTGTGTGAAAACCTTGTGAAGACTTACAGAAAACGTTTGACCTGTGTCATTGCCAACAAAGGGTATATAACAAAGTATTGAGAAACTTTTGTTATTGACCAAATACTTATTTTCCACCATCATATGCCAATAAATTCATAAAAAATCCTACAATGTGATTTTCTGGATTTTATTTTCTCATTTTGTCTGTCATAATTGACGTGTACCTATGATGAAAATTACAGGCCTCTCTCATCTTTTTAAGTGGGAGAACTTGCACAATTGGTGGCTGACTAAATACTTTTTTTCCCCACTGTAGGTGTCTGTGGAGTGTGAGAAATGTTTTTGTGATGTCAATAGAGGTAGTGAATTGCATCAGCCCTCTTTCGGCAAGTGTTAGTTGTGGATCATCATAGGTTTGTGCTGTGTATTCACACTTTTACATTCTTACAACATATGTCAATACCCTGTCATGTGGTTCTTTCCTTTTGTGCTTTGCCATGCTACAGTCACATTTGTAACAGTGTTCTGTACAGAGGAGGCTGGTGGGAAGATTTATAAGAGGACGGGCTCATTGTAATGTCTGGAATAGAATCAATCCAGCCATTACAATGAGCCTGTCCTCCTATAGCTCCTCCCACCAGCCTCTTCTGGTTTTGTATCACAACATGTAAGGGATAATCAACGAGGGGCTATGCCTTCAATGGAAAATAATGAACAACGTGGAAGGTGTGTTTCACAACGTGCTAGTGGAATGGAACTACCCTTCCACGGTGTTGCATTATTTTCCAGAGAACGCATAGAGCCTCGAGTTGATTATCCCTTTTATTCCATGGCTATATTTTTAATACACTTGCTGCTAGGAATGTGTTCAACATCCACTGGAGTAGCTAGCAAGTTTACTAGATAGCTACAGTAGTTGCCTTGGTAACCAAACATACTTGCTAGTTTAGCTAACCAAACCATCAGTCCTAGCTTGCTATTATGAAAATCTAATTCAACAATGCCAATAATGTTTTTAATTAGAATTTTGCTTTCAAATGCAGCTCAAACATAGAACATGTAAGAATGAACTATAGCCATTGAATTCTACTGTGCAGATATACTGTGCGTTATAGGGAAATATTGCACGCTCTAGAATGCCCTTCAAGCCAATCAGAAACTAGTATTCAACAATGCCATGGTATAAATGTTACTACTCCCTGCTCTATTCAACCACTCCCCAAGAATCTAGCTACCAACACCTTACACCTGCTACAGTAACACCCCCAGTAACACCACCTTGTTGTGAAGTGGGTATGTAGGCGTTCTCCTGCCTATGTTGCTGACTTTGAACTCTGCTCCCTACCCTCTCTTCCCCTCAGGGTATCCACCGCCTGTATGACGGAGAGGAGCAGGACGAGGGCATGGGGGAAGGAGGAGGGGAAGAGGAGGAGGAGGATGAAGAGGACAGAGAGAGGGACAGCCTGAGTGACGGGACTCCGAACAAGGACTGCCCGCTCCCTGAGCGACGTTCCCGCCGCCTGAAGTCCGAGGTCGGTGATGAGGTGATCACCGGAGACTGTTTTAATATTTTATTTGATCGCTTTCATTTTGATTTTCACATGGTGATTTACTAAATGATCTGCATTTTTACTCTTATGTTTTTTGCCTAACTTGTTTGGGGACTTAATGCACTGGAAATGCAATTGATGGATGGAGATACATTCTCATTAGCAAGAGGGCATTTGCAGCCTATGTGCTGGCTCTGGATGCATTAGCTACATTCTCAATAGCCAGAGAGCCTTGCGTGTGCTGTGTCTGCCCAAAGTGCCCATAACAGCAGCAGATCTCTATCTTGGCAAATCTGCTTGTCACCCTGTGTCATGGGGTCACATGGTTACTGTAATAGCATTATCTTTTCCTCTTGTGTAATTCAGCACAGCCTATTTCTTATCACAAGATCTGTAGGACGTTAGGTTGGGGATTGTAGTTTTTATATGCTGCTAACTGAGATACTGTACCCAATACTGATCTAATGTATGGATATGCCTAGAGGTCAGGGTTTCCGTTAGGAAAATGTGACATTTGACCAGCAGCATTTTAATTCGACGGACATTTAAGAAATTTACCGGACCCATATGCATTGGGTGCGTAACCTGATTAGGGCATTCACCCACGGTGCTCAGAATGACAGAAATCACATTTGGATTATGGTACTTCATATTAACAGAACATGAAAGTCGAGGATGCAACGATGTGCTTACCGAATTCTGATTTGCACTTTGAAGATGTTAGAATAACTGTCCACATTTACTTTTCCTCAGCCAACAAGACGAGTAACGAAGAGCAAAATTACTAGCCTATGTCAATCTGCTATCCCCCATAGTAGAAAAGTTTAACTATTCTGTTCAGCTTGTCGAGAAAGAAATAGCCTATTCCAAACTGATTCTGGGACAGTTGTGGGACGATAGGCTACATTTAAAAAAAACACTTAAAAAAAAAACTGTTAGTCTGATGCATCAGGTCTGAAAATGTAGCTTAAAATGTTGATAAACTATTATTTCTTCACATTATAAGCGCACAAGGCAGTAGGCCACGTGCAAATGTTAGTTCCATAGTGCAATTGGCAGGAAAACACAGCTGTCAAAGATTTGAAATTTAGAAAGAGGGGAGATCTAATATGCAACAACTAGCTTGGGATGCTAATATGACTACGATTGTGCCTTTGGCTACTGGACAATGAAAGAAAGTTGATATAAAATAATTGCCTTCATGGATAGGGTCTGATTTTGGCTAGGCTACTTTGAAGCAAGGTAAGACATGCCTCATAATATGTAATAAAACGTTGAGGTTTCAAATTAAGTATATGTTTTCAAAATGAATACTGCCTCCAGCTCATTGGAAAGTGGTGTGTGACACGCTGATGAGACCTGCCTTCTGTTGCCTATGCATTTGCTGTTTGAGATGCTGTAGCAGCAGCTCTTGGGCTGTTTTGACAGATTTTCCGCTCAAAGGCTCCATCTGTACGCGTGTGATGAATAAGATGTATAACGAATATACTGTACATGTGCCAATTTAATTCCACAACAGTATGCAAATTAACCTATAGACCGTTAAGCATTATTTCGCAAATTGCATTTTTTCTTATTCTCCCGGAAAATTAGCCGGCGGCAATTTTATTTATCGGCTTTAAAAAAAAAATAAGAAAGAAGAAGCCAGCTATTGCATTTACATCATTTAGCAGACGCTCTTATCCAGAGCGACTTACAAATTGGTGCATTCAACTTATGATAGCCAGTGGGACAACCACTTTTTTTAAATATTTTTTTTTATGGGGGGGGGGGGGGGGGTAGAAGGATTACTTTATACTATTCCAGGTATTCCTTAGAGGTAGGGTTTAAAGTGTCTCCAGAAGGTGGTCAGTGACTCCGCTGTCCTGGCGTCGTGGGGGAGCTTGTACCACCATTAGGGTGCCAGAGCAGCGAATAGCTTTGACTGGGCTGAGCGGGAACTGTGCTTCCGTAGAGGTAGGGGAGCTAGCAGGCCAGAGGTGGATGAACGTAGTGCCCTCGTTTGGGTGTAGGGTCTGATCAGAGCCTGAAGGTAAGGAGGTGCCGTTCCCCTCACAGCTCCGTAGGCAGCACCATGGTCTTGTAGTAGATGCGAGCCTCAACTGGAAGCCAGTGGAGTGTGCGGAGGAGCGGGGTGACGTGAGAGAACTTGGGAAGGTTGAACACCAGACGGGCTGCAGCGTTCTGGATAAGTTGTAGGGGTTTAATGGCACAGGCAGGGAGCCCAGCCAACAGCGAGTTGCAGTAATCAAGACGGGAGATGACAAGTGCCTGGATTAGGACCTGTGCCGCTTTCTGTGTAAGGTAGGGTCGTACTCTGCGAATGTTGTAGAGCATGAACCTGCAGGATCGGGTCACCGCTTTGATGTTAGAGGAGAACGACAGGGTGTTGTTCAGGGTCACGCCAAGGTTCTTTGCACTCTGGGAGGAGGACACAACGGAGTTGTCAACCGTGATGGCGAGATCATGGAGTGGGCAGTCCTTCCCCGGGAGGAAGAGCAGCTCCGTCTTGCAGAGGTTCAACTTGAGGTGGTGATCCGACATCCACACTGATATGTCTGCCAGACATGCCAGAGATGCGATTCGCCACCTGGTTATCAGAAGGGGGAAAGGAGAAAATTAATTGTGTCGTCTGCGTAGCAATGATAGGAGAGACCATGTGAGGATATGACAGAGCCAAGTGACTTGGTGTATAGAGAGAATAGGAGAGGGCCTAGAACTGAGCCCTGGGGGACACCAGTGGTGAGAGCACGTGGTGCAGAGACAGATTCTCGTCACGCCACCTGGTAGGAGCGACCTGTCAGGTAGGACGCAATCCAAGAGTGAGCAGCGCCGGAGATGCCCAACTCGGAGAGGGTGGAGAGGAGGATCTGATGGTTCACAGTATCAAAGGCAGCGGATAGGTCTAGAAGGATAAGAGCAGAGGGGAGAGAGTTAGCTTTAGCAGTGCGGAGAGCCTCTGTGACACAGAGAAGAGCAGTCTCAGTTGAATGACCAGTCTTGTAACCTGACTGGTTTGGATCAAGAAGGTAATTCTGAGAGAGATTGCAGGAGAGTTGGCTAGAGACGGCACGCTCAAGAGTTTCGGTTAAAGGAAACCCTGCTAGAGGTAGTCCAGAGTTAACTTACTGTATAGTAATTGTTTTGTGTATTTTGGCATAAAGACATCCAAATGACATACAATATACAGCGACAAACATACAACATAAGCCTACAGAGGTATCACCATGGATTCATTGATTATCCAGGCCCAATATCACATCACTGTTGTTGGCTACCTTTTATTTTGAACAGCGACCCAGCTTCTGCCCCTTCATGTCCTAGATTTCCCAGCTGCAGTCAGTGGAACTCTCCAGGGGGTCAGTGGCTGATGTTTGTCATTCCAACAGGATCTAACTGTTTCCTGGACATCTTTCCAGGACTTTGCATCTGAAATAGCACCCTATTCCCTATATAGTACACTACTTTTGGCCAGGGCCTGCATAGTGCTCTGGTCAAAAGTAGTGCACTAAATGACTAAAATGTAAATGTAATATAGGGAAAAGGGTGACATTTTGGACTCACCCCAGGAACGTTCCCTGATGTTGTTTTGTTATGTTTTTGTCTCCTCTCCTTCTAGCGGGAAAACAAAGAGCCCAAGACCCTGCAGATCTTTGGCAGTGGTCCCAAGATGGTTGGGTTAGAGATTGTACCGGCTGGTGAGGAACTTAGCTAGTATTTATTTCACTTCACTTACTCAGAGCAGATGCTGCAACGAAAAGTGTGTGTGTTCAGGGATTTTTCTACTATAGAAACTCTTGGGCAGGCCGTTTAAGCAAGTCCAAACTATTTTTATTTATTTATATTTAATCATTTTTAAATACATTTTCGGGACGTTAAAACGCTTTCAGTGTAAACGTAAACAACTAAAATAAGATAAAGTATGTAGGAAAGATAATGGCCCTATACAGTGCATTCAGAAAGTATTCAGACCCCTTCACTTTTTCCACTTTTTTTAACGTTACAGCCTTATTCTAAAATGGATGAAGAAAAAAAGCATCCTCATCAATCTACAAACAATACCCCATAATGACAAAGCGAAAACATGTTTTTAGAAATGTTTGCTAATTTATTAAAAATAAAAAACCGATACCTTATTTACATAAATATTCAGACCCTTTGCTATGAGACTCAACATTGAGCTCTGGTGCAGCCTGTTTTCATTGATCATCCTTGAGATGTTTCTACAACTTGATTGGAGTCCACCTGTGGTAAATTCAATTGATTGGACATGATTTGGAAAGGCACACACCTGTCTATATAAGGCCCACAGTTGACGGTGCATGTCTGAGCAAAAACCAATCCATGAGGTCAAAGTAATTGTCCATAGAGCTCCGTGACAGGATTGTGTCGAGGCACAGATCTGGGGAAGGCTTCCAAAAAATTTCTGCAGCATTGAAGGTCCCCAAGAACACAGTGGCCTCCATTATTCTTCAATGGAAGAAGTTTGGAACCACCAAGACTCTTCCTAGAGCTGGCCGCTCGGCCAAACCTGAGCAATCGGTGGAGAAGGGCCTTGGACAGGGAGGTGACCAAGAACCCGATGGTCACTCTGACGGCGCTCCAGAGTTCCTCTGTAGAGATGGGAGAACCTTCCAGAAGGCCAACAAGCTCTGCAGCACTCCACCAATCAGGCCTTTATGGTAGGGTTGCCAGACGGAAGCCACTCCTCAGTAAAAGGCACATGACAGCCCGCTTGGAGTTTGCCAAAACGCACCTAAATGACTTTTAGACCATGAGAAACAAGATTCTCTGGTCTGATGAAAACAAGATTGAACTCTGGCCTTAATGCCAAGCGTTACTTCTGGAGAAAACCAGGCACCGCTCATCACCTAGCCAATACTATCCCTACGGTGAAGCATGGTGGTGGCAGCATCATGCTTAGGGGATGTTTTTCAGTGGCAGGGACTGAGCGACTAGTCAGGATCGAGGGAAATATGAATGGAGCAAAGTACAGCGATTCTTGAAAACCTGCTCCAGAGCGCTCAGGACCTCAGACTGGGGCGAAGGTTCACCTTCCAACAGGACAACGACCCTACGCACATAGCCAAGACAACACAGGAGTGGCTTCGGGGCAAGTCTCTGAATGTCCTTGAGTGGCCCAGCCAGAGCCCGGACTTGATCGAACAACTCTGGAGAGACCTGAAAATAGCTGTGCAGGCGACTAACCTGACAGAAAACTGCAAAATGTTCTCTCAGCTCTATGGTAGAATCCCTTGAAATTAGCTTTATTGCTGCAACGTTTCCTTTCAGCTCCATGGCAAAATGTGTAGAATTGCAGAAAATTAAACTGCAAAAATCTGTCTTGTGCGGCTGCTCGGCCATGGAAACCTACTTCGTGAAGCTCCCAACAAACAGTTATTGTGCTAACATTGCTTCCAGGGGCAGTTTGGAACTCTGCAGTGAGTGTTACAACCGAGGACAGACGATTTTTACGCACTAAGTGGTTCAGCACTCGGCGGTCCCTTTCTGTGAGCTCGTGTGGCCTACCACTTCGCGGCTGAGCCGTTGTTGCTCCTAGACATTTCCATTTCACAATACCAGCACTTACAGTTGACCGGGGCATCTCTAACAGGGCAGAAATTTGATGACCTGACTTGTTGGAAAGGTGGCATCCTATGCCGGTGCCATGTTGAAAGTCACTGAGCTTCAGTAAGGCCATTCTACTGCCAAGGTTTGTCAATGGAGATTGCATGGCTGTGTGCTCGATTTTATACACCTGTCAGCAACGGGTGTGGATGAAAATGTTGACATAAGATGAATTATTTACATCTTGACAAAATTATTATTATTTTTTTTACAGTTCCACTTTTTCATCCCTCATTACCTTAATTACTATGATACTCCCCTCACTGTCTTCATTGGCTGCACTAATTGCACCATTTGTCTACATAACCTGGTTAAAGCATTTACCATGTAATCCTGAATAAGGCACTGCGTGCCAAAACGTTGGTTGCTATACCCATTCAATGTTTTGGAGCATAATTAGTGTGCAACGTTCTTTCTGTATTTTTTGGGAAAATACAAGTTGTGTAATGTTAATTCCCTCAGTATTGTAGCAATTCTGTTCTCTTGTGTTCCATGAGAAGACGATGGGTTCAATAAGAGGCAGCGTCACCTGAAGGCCCAGGCCTTCGCCTTTAAGATGCGACCACGCAAAGAAACCCTGGAGGTCAACTTTGTGAGTATCACCAGTTGACTAACTCCTCTGTCTCTGTCTAATATTCTATAATAATCTCAACTTTGTAAGTATGAGTTGATTTCCTCTTTTCTTCTCTTTATGTGTTGTCCTGTTCTACTCACTCACTACATTTACATTTAAGTAATTTAGCAGACGCTCTTATCCAGAGCGACTAGAGTGCATTGAACAAATGAACCACTAGTGGACAACAGCTCAAAACATGTTTTTAGTTTCATGGACCACTTTTTGAATGGAATCATTTGACTAATTATTATTCTCTATTTCCTGTTCTAGATCCCCCAGATTGACCTGTACATGTGCCTGATGTGTGGGCGGGGCGACGAGGAGGACCGCCTCCTGCTGTGTGACGGCTGTGATGACAGCTACCACACCTTCTGTCTGATTCCGCCCCTACAGGACGTCCCCAAGGGGGACTGGCGATGCCCCAAGTGCGTCGCTGAGGTATGGAACTCTGGTGACCCTGCCACTACCCAATCCGAAGCCGATTCCTCACTTGAGAAACACACATGACAGCTAACTTGAATTTCCATGCCAATCATGCATTTATTCTATATCAATGGAAAAATGTTGCATAAGTTGTGAGTTATAATAATTTCTTTATTGTGTCCCTTTTGGAAAATGTATCTTAAACAGCACAACATCACCACATACAGTGGGGGAAAAAAAGTATTTAGTCAGCCACCAATTGTGCAAGTTCTCCCACTTAAAAAGATGAGAGAGGCCTGTAATATTCATCATAGGTACACGTCAACTATGACAGACAAAATGAGAAAAAAATATCCAGAAAATCACATTGTAGGATTTTTAATGAATTTATTTGCAAATTATGGTGGAAAATAAGTATTTGGTCAATAACAAAAGTTTCTCAATACTTTGTTATATACCCTTTGTTGGAAATGACACAGGTCAAACGTTTTCTGTAAGTCTTCACAAGGTGGGGACACGTCTGGCACTGCAGGATTTGAGTCCCTGGCGGCGTAGTGTGTTACTGATGGTAGGCTTTGTTACTTTGGTCCCAGCTCTCTGCAGGTCATTCACTAGGTCCCCCCGTGTGGTTCTGGGATTTTTCTACAATTTTGTTTCTGGTGTCCTTTGACAGCTCCTTGGCCATAGTGGAGTTTGGAGTGTGACTGTTTGAGGTTGTGGACAGGTGTCTTTTATACTGATAACAAGTTCAAACAGGTGCCATTAATACAAGTAACGAGTGGAGGACAGAGGAGCCTCTTAAAGAAGAAGTTACAGGTCTGTGAGAGCCAGAAATCTTGCTTGTTTGTAGGTGACCAAATACTTATTTTCCACCATAATTTGCAAATAAATAAATTAAAAATCCTACAATGTGATTTTCTGGATTTTTTTCACTCAATTTGTCTGTCATAGTTGACGTGTACCTATGATGAAAATTACAGGCCTCTCTCATCTTTTTAAGTGGGAGAACTTGCACAATTGGTGGCTGACTAAATACTTTTTTTCCCCACTGTATAGTGCATAAATACATACAACAATGTAAATCACAAGGAGTATTACAACAAGAAAAAACACGTGGAGATACAGTTCACACCTGCCTACCATGTGTTATAATTTAGCCTCCGTATGAATAGGTTGTAGTGTTTGTCAATCTGTGATGATATGGAAGTGTATGACTGATATACATAAATCATGTTGAGGAAGACTATGGGATAGGATGATGTTTTCTCACTGGCTGTCTCACCCCGTTTCACCCTACAGGAGTGCAGTAAGCCGCGAGAGGCATTTGGCTTTGAGCAAGCCGTGAGGGAGTACACCCTCCAGAGCTTTGGAGAGATGGCCGACCACTTCAAGTCAGACTACTTCAACATGCCCGTGCACGTACGTATCAAAATCAAACTGTCAACTTGAGTTATAGGCAAGAATCTAAAGAAAACGATGCTTTTGGAATACATATGTTCAGGTTAGGTCTGTATCTCAAAATCAAGTCGGATGAAGTCAACCCACTTTCTTTGGGTGATATTTTCATCCTTCATGCTGTTTGAAGTTGAACACCTAACCTTTCTCTCCCACTAATGCCCAATCACATCTAAACAATGCATGTGTGTGTGTGTTCTCCTTTCTCTGCACCCCCAGATGGTGCCGACAGAGCTGGTGGAGAAGGAGTTCTGGCGTCTGGTGAGCTCCATCGAGGAGGATGTCATTGTGGAGTACGGAGCTGACATCAGCTCTAAGGAGGTGGGCAGCGGCTTCCCCGTCAGGGATGGCAAGAGACGGCTACTGGGAGACGAAGAGGTAACTATGCACCAACTGGGACAAAGGACCCAGGCTCTTTCGCGATAGTCTTTCGCCACCTTTTCAAAACGCATGGGAGGAGAAGATCCGTTGTTCCTACATTCGGACCTTCTCCTCTAATGCCTTTTATGGAGTAGAGCGAGGACACAATGAATCGTGGAAAGATTAATTGAGAAAGAGCCCCAGTATGAAATCCACACCCTTAACGGCTTGCTTTTATGTTACTTATGACCAATAAGTAACTTCCATCACCTCTGTCTTGTTCTTCTGTAGGAGTATGCCAACTCAGGCTGGAACCTGAACAACATGCCAGTCCTGGAGCAGTCGGTCCTTACCCACATAAACGTGGATATCTCTGGCATGAAGGTGCCCTGGCTCTACGTGGGCATGTGCTTCTCCTCCTTCTGCTGGCACATCGAGGACCACTGGAGCTACTCCATCAACTTCCTGCACTGGTAAAGTAACAAACATAAATGCCTTGTCCTAAATCAACCGCTTGCCCAAATATTTAGTAATACTGTATATTTTAGTCCAAAGGACACAAATAAATTGTCTTTCTAACACAGTCCTCAGTGGGAAGAGACAGACAAATGCACGTACAAAACAATGTTAACTGTATATAATGTTGCAATGGGTCTTAGACAATTGTACTCCCCATCTTCATTCGTCTGACTGGTTAACCGTCTTCTCTCTTTCTCTGCCTGTCTCTCCAGGGGGGAGCCTAAGACGTGGTATGGTGTCCCGGCCCACGCGGCAGAGCAGCTGGAGTCAGTGATGAAGAAGCTGGCCCCAGAGTTGTTTGACTCTCAGCCTGACCTGCTGCACCAGCTTGTCACCATCATGAATCCCAACGTCCTAATGGAGCACGGTGTGCCCGTATGTAGTGTGTGTTTCCATCAGTGGCCGTATGTATCAAGTGTTTCAGAGTAGGAGTGCTGATCTGGGAACAGTTTTGCCTATTGGATCACAATGAATACGTTTAAATGGAAAGGGCAGGGGGATCTGATCCTAGATCAGAACTCCGACTCTGAGACGCTTGATACATATGGGCCCTGGCCCCTTTTACGAGACCAAGTCTGCATTGTGTCTTTTACTGGTGTGTGTTTGTGCCACTCAGGTTTTCCGGACCAACCAGTGTGCAGGGGAGTTTGTGGTGACCTTTCCCAGAGCCTACCACAGTGGCTTCAACCAGGGATACAACTTTGCTGAGGCTGTCAACTTCTGTACCGCAGACTGGGTGAGTTTTTAACAAGTGTTTGTGTGTAAACAAATATTAACAGAATGTTGAATTGGAATTTTGAAGGTTGGGTGTAGGTTTGGGCGGTATCAAGATTATCATACCTTCATACAGACCTTGTGCCATACCGAGATATTCGGTAATACCGGCACTGTTTTCAAACCCAACTGATACTCTGTAATCCAAAGGTTAGCAATGCTAACAAGTACAAGTAAAATCCCATAGCGAAAGATAACTAAAAGCTAACGAGCGCATTGCAAACATTTTAAAGTCTCTGACCTAAACTATACAAGTAACTCAAAAATGATACTCACAGTTTGCTGCACGCACAAAACAAATATTAGACAGCAAGGCTTTTGATCCAGGAGGGGATTCTCTGCTGTTACCAAGTGAATGCTTGATTATGGAAGAAGCTAACCACTTAGCTAACTAGCTACTATATTAGCAAACCAATTGCACAACTTCAGAGCATTTAGCACATTTTAGACAGTTAACTTGGTTCTAAGATATCTAGCTGGCAAACATTTAGTTGTGAATTCCATACTGTAACTAGATCACCTGGCGCATGTTGCACAACAGTGAGTGACTCACAAGGCTGCGGTCTCGTAGTTCTGTGCTTGTAAACAAACACAACGTGACTGGGGACTACCGTTAAGCTTCATAATGAAAAATTATGTGACGGGTGAAATGGAAGAACGCAATCTTCTTTATCTCCTAACGTATTGCACAAGTTGACTGCAGGTATTTACTTAAGTAGCTACAAATATTAAAATGTCAATGTTATTGACGGTATTGGAAAACCATCCCGTGGCTATTTGCAAATACCCTGGTATACTGCCCAAGCCTAGTTGGGAGCTTAAGTAAGTCAAGTATTTTATACCCATCTTACTGTCTTGGTGAATCAATCAGCTTAGATATTCCCCTTCCAATGCGCTCTTTGCTTCCCCTTGATGTTTTGATGAGGCGAGGAGAAAAGATCCAAGGAATCGATTAAAGACTTCTCTCTCTCTCTCTCGGTCTGTGTCTCTCTCTCTCTGTCTCTGTGTGTCCCCTTCCCCTTCCAGCTCCCGATGGGTCGTCAGTGTGTGGCCCACTACCGGCGGCTCCACCGCTACTGTGTCTTCTCCCACGAGGAGTTGCTGTGCAAGATGGCTGCCGACCCCGAGAGCCTGGACGTGGAGCTGGCTGCTGCAGTCTTCAGAGAGATGGGAGATATGATGGAGGAAGAGACACGGCTCAGACAGGCCGTGCAGGAGATGGTGAGGGACAGGGCCCAGGGGGATTACTATATAAACAACTTTTTGCCACCTTAGGAGAACTTTACAGGAGGGCCAGGATTGAGGATGAAGTAATGCAAGCAGGGTTTACTTGGGAATACATTATGATGGTACACTATCAAACAATATGTTGACATCACACGATCCCAAAGATATGTTTCAAATGATTTCCTATCACACCAAAAGTGAATCAATTATGTAATTTCACATTCGTCCTCCCAGTCTAGTTGAAGTGGATTGTTTTCTGATTGCGATTTCCCTCCGTGTCTACAGGGTGTTCTGTCCTCTGAGCATGAGGTGTTTGAGCTGGTCCCTGATGACGAGCGGCAGTGTCAGAAGTGTAAGACCACCTGTTTCCTGTCGGCTCTGACGTGTCCCTGCAGCCCAGAGAGCCTTGTCTGTCTGCACCACGCCAAGGAGCTCTGTGACTGTCCCATGGGAAACAAGTGTCTACGGTAAGGAGTACAGCTGTGTGATATGGACAACAATCCATATGGAACGATAAATTCATAACAATGTGCACCAGTTTAAAAAAAAATTATCCTTTAAACTACTACTAGTTTAATGGTTGTATCTATCAATTGTCCTAACACATTTATTTCATTTCAAACTTCACATTTATCTAGTGTAGGCTACTTATCGTAATGAACGATAAGTGATTGGTGTGGTCGCTGTCGATAATTTTCGGCTTATCGTCCCAGCTCTACTAAGGAGAGAGGGGTGGGTGTGTGGGTTGGTGTTTGGGTGGGTCGGTGAGTGAATAAATTAATTTAAGGAGTGTCTCCGGTGAGAAGGGATGGATGGATGGATGGATGAATGAAGTAGAGGAGTTATGAACTCTGAACTGCTCAGAAGCCCCCATAAGAGCCCACTGATGAATGATAGTTTTTTTTACCGGTCATTGCATCAGTGAGGACTTGGGTGTAGTTTCACTGACCCAGAATCAATCTAATCTCCATTGAAAGTTGCTTTTTAATTCATGAATAGGTTTAATGTAGCTCCTCTGTAGCTCAGCTGGTAGAGCACGGCGCTTGTAACGCCAAGGTAGTGGGTTCGATCCCCGGGACCACCCATACACAAAAATGTATGCACGCATGATTGTAAGTCGCTTTGGATAAAAGCGTCTGCTAAATGGCATATTATATTATAATATATTATATATTATATTATATTATATATTATATTTAATCTGGGTCAATTTAACCCCATATAGCAATCAATATTAAATAGATGCTGACACTCCAGTCTCTTTGTATTCCAGCTACCGGTATGATCTGGAGGAGTTTCCCTCCATGCTGTATGGGGTGAAGTCCAGAGCCCAGTCCTATGACACCTGGGCCAAGCGGGTCACTGAGGCCTTGGCTGCTGACCACAAGAACAAGAAAGGTAGGAGGACTATCTGTACTGTAAATGTGGAAATACTCTGCACTTTATTAGAACAATTGTACTACGATTCCCCATGCCTCATATCGCTCTCCTCTATTCTTCCATCTTTCTCTCTCCTTTCTCTCCTGTCTGTCTCTGTCCCTCTCCCTTTGTCAGACCTGATAGAGTTGAAGGTTCTTCTGGAGGATGCAGAGGACAGGAAGTACCCAGAGAACAGTCTGTTCCGTCGGCTCAGAGAGATGGTGAAGGAGGCCGAAACTTGCTCCTCTGTGGCCCAGCTACTGCTCAGCCGCAAGCAGAGGCACAGGTCAGTAGAGGACAGATATACACACACACACACACACACACACACACACACACACACACACACACACACACACACACACACACTGCTGTTATGTCACACTAAAGTTGATGTCCCTGTTCTCTTCCCTTCTCCCGAATTGTGCACTTACACACTCCACACCAAGGAATTAAAATCATTGGATTGGTGCAAGCATTCTCCTTCATTGTTTTTACACCGTTGCATCTGTGAGGGAGAGTGTGCTAGTGCACACTTTGGGAGAAGGGTAGCAAATCGGGACATAACCATTTAACATTTATCCCCCTACCTGTGAGTAATAAATCAACTCAAAGTATTTCTCTCTGTATTCCAGTACCAGGCAGCGTCCAGAGAGCAGCAGGACTCGTAACAAGCTGACAGTGGAGGAGCTGAAAGTCTTTGTAGAGCAGCTGTTCAAACTGCCCTGTGTCATCGGACAGGCTCGACAGGTCAAAGTAAGTCCCAAACCTAATACAGTCACTTGCCATTCTTAACAGATGTACAGTAATTATCCTCCTCTGACATCCTACTATATGTGTATTACATCACTGAAGTTGACCTGTCCCCAAACCAGTATTTGTTGATTAGTAGTCCTTGATTGTTAGTATATAACACCGTATCCTTCATCCCTTCATCCCTCTCTCCCTCCCTCCCTAGGAGTTACTAGAGAATGTGGAGGACTTCCATGAGAGAGCCCAGGTAGCCCTGGCTGACGAGCTGCCTGACTCCTCCAAGCTGCAGGCCCTGCTAGACCTGGGTGGAGGTCTGGATGTGGAACTACCTGAGCTGCCCAGGCTCAAACAGGAGCTGCAGCAGGCCCGCTGGCTGGATGAGGTGATGCCTATTGATATTATTGTGTATTAGCGTAGTGTTTTACCTCATAGTTTGTTTGTGTGCTTTCTTCAGCAGTCTAAAATCATTTTTGCTGGGAGAGAAAAAATATTAAATTGAAACGTTTTGTTATGATTAGGTGCGTGTGACGCTGGCAGAGCCCCACCGGGTGACCCTGGAGCTGATGAAGCGGCTGATAGACTCTGGGGTGGGGCTGGCACCACACCATGCTGTGGAGAAGGCCATGGCTGAGTTGCAGGAGATACTCACTGTGTCAGAGAGATGGGAGGACAAGGCCCGCGCATGCCTACAGGCCAGGTAATGATGTTGATACACATTACACACCTATAGTACAGTTTTCTCATCTGCCTACAGGCCAGGTAAATGAGAATATGATAATGCTGTTCTTTAGTTACCTGCCTATAGCTTTGGTGTCATGCTTGGGTCGTGTTCAATAGGGTACACCTTCGCAAATTGTTTTAGCAAATCTGTCTTCTTACTGGACAAGTTCAGGTAGTACCTCCCGGTTTCACTCAATTTCAAAATGTTTTATCCCTTCTGAACGTGACCCAATTCCTGTTTTAGCATATTGCATCAAAGGATGCCTGTAACTGTGAGATGAATGTCTCTTAATCCATTCTTTCTTGTCTCTCTCCTCCCCCAGGCCTCGGCACAGCATGCTAACCCTGGAGAGCATCGTGATAGAGGCCAGGAACATCCCGGCCTACCTGCCCAACGTCCTGGCCCTCCGAGAGGCTCTGCACAAGGCCAAGGAGTGGAGCGCCAAGGTGGATGCCATTCAGGTAGTGTCGCGTCGCACGGTAATTACTGATAAGTATAGATTCAATTTGTGATGTATATAGATGTAGCTACAGTATAGGCAGGCATCTCTCAATATTTGTCTGTAATGCGCTCGGCTCGGTTTATATGCAATAGAATGGCCTGGTCATTTGTTAGAAGCTTACATTAGCTAGGTTTCCATCAATTTGTGGAAAGATTTTCAAGCGGGGGCCTCCCGAGTGGCGCAACGGTCTAAGGCACTGCATCGCGTCACTACAGCCCCGGGTTCGATCCCAGGCTGTCACAGCCGGCCTTGACCGGGAGACCCATGAGGCGGCGCACAATTGGCCCAGCGTTGTCCGGGTTAGGGGAGGGCTTGGGACAAGACTGTAACTACCAATTGGATATCACGAAATTGGGGAGGAAAAAGGTGTAAAACAAAACAAAAATATTCATGCAAATATTCTAATATTCGCACCAAAAAATATGCACATTTTACCAGCAGATGACTGTTTCCATCAAACTGGCTTCTTGCGAATTAAAAGCTGTGCTTAATGACGTAGTGCAAATAAAAAGCACGTAACTTTTCATTTACCGAATAAAAAAACAGACGTACGATGTGTTTCCATCCCATTTTTAACTCTGTCGATGGTTTTGCCACAAAGTCTGCGATAAACAGCGAATGTGCCCGATCTGGTCTTGGCACGTGCGCTCTAGCAAACAGCTCGAAGATACAGAGCAGAGGGTAGACTTTAGATCATTTTTATTTATTGACAGCCAAGCACCGATTATGTGACCAGCATAAAATTAAGAACCTCAATATTTATTGGAAAGAAGCATCACGCTCATCATCACTGTGCACTTTCCCCACCCTGTGAAGTTCATCATAATTTATTTTAAATGTAGCCTAATAAACTGTGCAGTGTGCATGTTTTTCCAAGTCATAGTGGGAGGACCACACAATCATATCATCTCGTGACTACAAGTTTACTGCGACATGATGGTTAAACCATCAACAAATCCGCATCAAAGCGTTTCCACTACATTTGTCACATGATCTATTTCACCGACAAAACAATTATCCCCTGTCTAGCGTATTTTGTTCTGTCGACGTTTGGAAAGTTTACAGGCAATTATACTGTTTCCATCAGGCCTGTCGTGAGTTCTTTATTATTTTTTAAATTTATTTTATATATCCGACAGGAACTTTACTTGCATGTAAATAGTTGGATGGAAACATGGTTATTGTTACCAGATAAGTTTGTAATTTATCTTGTCGCCAGAACATGAATGATACATGTGAATGGGAAGGTTCATACTGTGTGATGCATTACGTACTTTCTTTTGACAATGATGATTAATTTCCCTTTATGTTTCCCCTGTGTATCTCCCTCCCTCCAGAGTGGCAGTAACTATGCATACCTGGAGCAGTTGGAGAGCCTGCTGGCGAGGGGTCGCTCCATCCCCGTCCGGCTTGACCCCCTGCCCCAGGTCGAATCTCAGGTGGCCTCGGCCCGCGCCTGGAGGGAGAGGACTGCACGTACCTTCCTCAAGAAGAACTCCACCTACACCCTGCTTCAGGTAAGGCGTAATACCCTGGGTTGGGCTGTACCTAGGCACTGAGAAATAATGAATGAGTATGTCTCTGAGATAGTGGTTTGAAAGATTTTTCCAACCAAGCAGCCCTTTTCAGACTATGCTAACCCCAGAGTGCAATATGAGATATTTGCGTAAGCTATGGTGCAGAAGTTGGTGGACCACCATACGCAAATTGTTGTGAATTCCATCTGTCTATACTGTAGGTAGTTGGGAATAGGGTCCAATATTATCATAGGACTAGTAGTTTGATAACATCTGTGCTAATCTCTATTCTCTGTGTGTTGTCTCTCTTAGGTCCTTAGTCCGCGTGTGGATATTGGTATCTATGGCAACAGCAAGAGCAAACGCAAACGAGTCAAGGAGCTCCTTGAGAAGGAGAGAGGAGGTCTGGACCTGGAGGTTCTCAGCGACCTGGACGAGAGTTACGAAGACGCCTGCGACCCGGCCACCGTCGTAGCGGCATTCAAATCCAAGGAGCAGAAAGAGGTTGAGGCCATCCACTCCCTCCGAGCCGCCAACCTGGCTAAGATGGCCATGGCTGACCGTATCGAGGAAGTCAAGTTCTGTCTGTGTCGTAAGACCGCCAGTGGGTTTATGCTGCAGTGTGAACTGTGCAAGGACTGGTTCCACGGAGCCTGCGTGCCGTTACCGAAAACAGGCTCCCAGAAGAAGCTCGTGGGCTCGGCCGGTTGGCAGAGCAACAGCAAGGAGGTCAAGTTCCTGTGCCCGTTGTGCCAGCGGTCACGGCGCCCGCGTCTGGAGACCATCCTGTCTCTCCTGGTGTCCCTCCAGAAGCTGCCGGTCCGTCTGCCCGAAGGGGAGGCCCTACAGTGCCTGACGGAGAGGGCCATGGGCTGGCAGGTAGGGATGAGTTCAAGTTTTCAGAATCAATTATTTGACGGTCGCTAGGGTTAATTAATCGAAGTTTGGTTTATAATCTGAGTTTTCCCTGCAAAACATGCATATTCTGAATCAAAACATAATCTTGTTTATTTAAACTATCGCTGTTCATCAATGGAATAGATGAATCTAACTCATCTCTACTTGCAGGACCGCGCCAGGCAGGCCCTGGCTACAGACGAGCTGTCCTCGGCCCTGGCCAAGCTGTCGGTGCTCAGTCAGAGGATGGTAGAACAGGCTGCCCGGGAGAAGACAGAGAAGATTATCAATGCTGAGCTGCAGAAGGCTGCCGCAAACCCAGACCTGCAGGTAAGAGATGAATGCTTCCGTATGGTACTCAGAGCCATATATAGAGAGATTGGAGGCGCTAACATTTTTTTTATTTTTTTTTATTTCACCTTTATTTAACCAGGTAAACCAGTTGAGAACAAGTTCTCATTTACAACTGCGACCTGGCCAAGATAAAGCAAAGCAGTGCGATAAAAACAACAACATAGAGTTACATATGGGGTAAAACAAAACAAAGTCAAAAAAATACAACAGAAATACATATATATACAGTGTGTGCAAATTTAGCAAGTTATGGAGGTAAGGCAATAAAATAGGCTATAGTGCAAAATAATTACAATTAGTATTAACACTGGAATGATTGATGTGCAAGAGATGATGTGCAAATAGAGATACTGGGGTACAAATGAGCAAAATAAATAACAATATAGGGATGAGGTAGTTGGGCGGGCTAATTTCAGATGGGCTGTGTACAGGTGCAGTGATCGGTAAGGTGCTCTGACAACTGATGCTTAAAGTTAGTGAGGGAGATAAGTGTCTCCAGCTTCAGAGATTTTTGCAATTTGTTCCAGTCATTGGCAGCAGAGAACTGGAAGGAATTGCGGCCAAAGGAGGTGTTGGCTTTGGGGATGACCAGTGAGATATACCTGCTGGAGCGCAGACTACGGGTGGGTGTTGCTATGGTGACCAATGAGCTAAGATAAGGCGGGGATTTGCCTAGCAGTGATTTATAGATGGCCTGGAGCCAGTGGGTTTGGCGACGAATATGTAGTGAGGACCAGCCAACAAGAGCGTACAGGTCACAGTGGTGGGTATTATATGGGGCTTTGGAGACAAAACGGATGGCACTGTGATAGACTACATCCAATTTGCTGAGTAGAGTGTTGGAGGCTATTTTGTAAATGACATCGCCGAAGTCAAGGATCGGTAGGATAGTCAGTTTTACGAGGGCATGTTTGGCAGCATGAGTGAAGGAGGCTTTGTTGCGAAATAGGAAACCGATTCTAGATTTAACTTTGGATTGGAGATTCTTAATGTGAGTCTGGAAGGAGAGTTTACAGTCTAACCAGACACCTAGATATTTGTAGTTGTCCACATACTCTAGGTCAGACCCGTCGAGAGTAGTGATTCTAGTCGGGTGGGCGGGTGCAAGCAGCGTTCGGTTGAAGAGCATGCATTTAGTTTTACTAGTGTTTAAGAGCAGTTGGAGGCTACTGAAGGAGTGTTGTATGGAATTGAAGCTCGTTTGGAGGTTTGTTAACACAGCGTCCAATGAAGGGCCAGATGTATACAAAATGGTGTCGTCTGCGTAGAGGTGGATCTGAGAGTCACCAGCAGCAAGAGCGACGTCATTGATATACACAGAGAAAAGAGTCGGCCCAAGAATTGAACCCTGTGGCACCCCCATAGAGACATGGCGTCAAGTGTAAAAGTTGGCCATTATCTCTCTATATGGCTCTCATGATCAGTCATTCCTCTAAACAAGATGCTCAGGGATAAGGTAAGTCATGAGACTGACGTGTTTTTTTTCAAGTCCTCTCCTTCTCTTCCTCCTTGTTTGTTCAGTGCATTAGAGAGCGAAAAACCGAGAGATTGGTTCCACGGTATGATAACTGACGTGTTTTTTTTTAGTCCTCCCTCCTTCACTGC